GGTGTTTTATGGAAGAAATATTCTTCAGAATGCGGACATAATTGGTGCACCAAGAGGTGTCCCTAAGTTGAATTGCCCCTAAGCCGAGTCTTGTTTTCCAATAGACTTACATTATATAATTTTTAATGGGTGTTTTATGGAAGAAATATTCTTCAGAATTCCATGAAAAAACATTTTTTGCCACTTGAATTTGATTCAGTGAACATCTTTTCAACCCACTTAGAACATTTGGAGCATTGAATAGTATACCACTGTACAGTTCATAAAGCAATGGGAAAAGTACGAAAGAATTTTTCTTGCACAGATCTTAGGGTTGGAAATATCTGTTCCTTGAAATTAAGCCTAATAAAAATCAATTTTCCTAAAATTTATTGGCAATTTTATCATGCAATGTCCTCATGCCAAGTCAGTGTATGCATGTTGGGCCTTTTTTATGATTTTTGCACTGAAAAATAAATGTCCCCATGTTGAATTGTCCCCATGTCAAGGTGTCCGCATGTAGGGGTCTCACTGTATATCCCCTTAATGACGCGCCAGCTCTCCTTCTCCTCTCTTAATTAAAAAAAAACACACCTGGTACTCGAGTAAATACGATAATTTTGGCAAACATGCGTACGATGGAATATAATGAGACGAAAATGTAAAGAATACACTACAGTATTATGCAATACTGCCCAATGACGATTAAGTTGAGAAATACAGCATACATGTACTGATGTACAGCAAACGCATGCAGGACTGGTTGCGCATGCCGTGATTGAAAAACATTCATTTCAGCTGCTAGAAACCATCAAGAATATGAAGTCACTAACGAATCTTTTCAATGTTAGTCAGTTGTTAAAACTTTTACACTGGCCCCACATTTCCAATCATGAGGATTTAATAGCAGTAAATGGTATAACTGATTTGGCTTGTTCAAATGCTGGGCCTCGTCAATCGTTCGTCATGCGAGCTTTTCTCCTCTTTCTTGTTGTTCCCTATACGTGTACTACATATAAGAGGGTTGGTTCACACGTTTTGATACTTTTTGATATACAGAAGATCCAACAGAGTTCCAGCAATTCCAAAAAAAAAAGAGAAGCGCCATAATTTGGCAACACTTCAGGGTGCTGTTCAACATACTCTCCGACGATTCCAATGCTTTTTTTTTCATGCAATAAATCAAATGATCAAAACAGTGCTGAAAATCGAGTTCCATTATTAGCTGATTAAGCTGTTTTACAATGGTGGAAATGAGGCTGTCTCTGTCCTCAAAATCAATCCCTTTTTCAGGTCGTTCTTCACTGTTGGGGACAGCCAGAATAAGTCACACGTTGCCCAATCAACTAACATTGCTCGATTTTGTGGCACTGTTTTGATCGTTGGAATTATTGCATGAAAAAAAGCATTGAAATCCACGGAGAGTATGTTGAACAACACTGAAGTGTTGCCAAATGATGGGGCTATGCGATTAAAAAGGTTTTTTTTCTATCCGTTGGATCTATTCCAAGAAATCTCGGAACTCATGCACCAACCCTCGCAGTTTAGCACTGGCTTTTCATTATGAACGCACGAGGATGGGAAAAATACTGTACAGGTGGTACCTCGCAATTCGACCCTAAGCCGTTGCCAAAGTTGGGTCCAATTGCAAAGCTGTCGAATTGCGAGACACTTCGTGAAATTCCAAAAATATCAGTAAAAAAAAAACGCTAGAAAAAAGCAGCCAAAGCAGGTCGTATTGCGGGGCAGGAACACAAAACATTTAAATTTTCCAACTTTCAGCAAATTTTCAGAATATTGTGTGAAATAAGGGGGAAACTGTGACTTTAACCAGAGAAAAAAACAAAAACAAATTTGTTCAAGCACTGGTTTTGAAATTCTTCAGAAGAAAATAACATATGCTTAGAACATCATGATGTAAATCTTGAACATTTCTTTCTCAAATTTTTGACGATTTCAAAACCGCGGACAAGCAGCAATGGGACAACCTCTTGCACATGCACATTTCTGTACATATTGGAAGCGTAAAATAGAGGAACCATTCTGCAAATTCAGGAGCTGCTTTGGAAACTTCAGCGCATGAATTGCAAGGCAACTTCCCTGGAAATTCGACCGTCGAATTGCCATATTGAAACCACCTGTACTATGTGCACAAAACGTTGTAAAAGCACGACGGAAATCATACCGTACTGCACTAAGAAAAGAAAAGCGCGATTGAGGGGGGTGGAGGACGAGTTACCAACGCACTATAAACGCAGCAACAACAACAACAAAAACGGCTTTTTCGTCTTGCTGTCCCGCGACGGCCAGTATGTAGCTGGCTAGCTGGCTGGCTGGCTGCCTGACTGACTGACTGCACGACGCCCGCGTCCATCGCGACCAACCGACCCTACCGGTGGTGCAGGGTACATAGGCAGCCAGCGCCAACACGTTTTCTGCGCAACACCATTCTGCCAGCAATAATAAGACGGCAGAGGCATGCTGTAGGTGGGGGAGACGAAAATGTATACGAGGCAAGGTCGGGGGACAGCAAGGAGGAAAGAAGGAAGGAAAATGGTATTTTAAAATAAAACTATGGCATACGGGAGGAGGGGGTCTAACGAAAGTTCTGCAGATATAAATCGAAACAGCATGCGATTGACCCAATTACAGTGAAACCCCCCACATGCGGACACCTCAACATGCAGACAATTTTACATAGGGACACTTATTTCCCCATGGAAAATTAATAAAAAAGACCCGACATGAGGACACTGACTCAACATAGGGACATTTTGTGATGAAATTGCAAATAAGTTTCAGGCCAAATTACAAGAAACAGATGTTTACAACCCTAAAATTGATGTAAGAAAAGTTCTTCGGCATTTCTCTCATCAATTTACCATACATTTAGCTAATTTAAAAAATAATAATCTTTAGGATAGAGGGACTTCCTCTGCTGTTTTTCACTGGAATGTTATTTTTACAGAGAATGCCAACATTTCCATGTCCTGTACAAAGGTATCAGTATTAAATACCCACAAATGTCCATATTGTGTTGAAATATACTGATTGAATCAGTTTAAATTGGAAGACAATTTTTATTTTCATGGAATTATGGTGAGTACTGTATTTGGTCCATAAAACACCAATTAAGAAGTATATAATGTAAGTCTAAGGGAAAATTAGACTCAACTTAGGGACACTCTTGATGCAACAATGACATATGCATCCCTGGGTCTCACTGTATTGTTCCAAAAAAATAACAACACTCTATTACACAAGGAAAAAAAATCAGCCCTATTGGACATGCGATGGTTTTGCAAAAAGTTCCACTGGCAACTTTCTGTTCTTCGCGCAAAAAATACCAAGTCGTCCATCTCACTGATTTTTTCATGTACCACCGATTTTCCTTAAAGAATTCCTGAAATTGACGGCATTAAAATTACAAGGGTTGCCTCCAGATTCTCCAAAGAAAATTCCGCCATTTTTTTTTCAATAGACACTCTCATCCCAAGTGGCGGCTGGTAAGTATGAGAAATTCAACAATTAATAAATTGCAACCCTTGGAACTATTGCTACGTCAGTTGCGAGAATTCTGAAGGGAAAACTGGACTTCGCCAAAAAAAAAACTGCGAGATGGGTGCCTCATCCTATGAGCAAATAATTCTTGCTGCACCTGCGCACCAGCAAAACCACCAGGAGAAAGTCTGCAATGCCAATATAAATACAACAGGGAAGGGTTGCATAAGAGGCAATGAAACATCCCATGAATTGACTCTCCATCCTGCCAATTTAAAAGACAATCAAACTTCAAGCCCAGTGGAAAAATGCAGGATGCGGGCAACTAAAAAACGACACAACATTTCAATTTTCCAACTTTCAGCAAATTTTCAGAGTATTGCGGAATGAGTGGGAAACCGAGGCTTTAACCAGGAAAACCCAGTTTTTTTAAGCAATGGTTTTGAAATTCTTCAGCACATGCTGGAACATCATGATGAAAATTCTGCACATTTCCCCCCCCAAAATGTTGAAGATTTCAGAACCACAGACAAGCAGCAGTGGGACAACCCTTGCACATGCATATACTGTACATATTGGCAGAGTAAAAGGAAATTATTTCCTTCCCACAACAGAAAAATATTTGTTTCCTTAATGCAAAACCTCCCAAACTCAACATCGTTTTATTTATTTTTTTGTTGCTGGTCCCTTGAAATTCGAACAGGTTTGACTGTTTTGAAAGAAAGTTGAAGACTTCCTTTGATTGGTCAAATGAACTCTTGCTTCCAAGTTCAGCATCCTTTTAACTCATTCAAGACACAAAATATCACCATTTACAATTTCCTGAAATTATTTCCTTTCCACAACAAAAATGTTTGTTTCCTTGACACAAAACCTCACTGCCTTGATGTTGTTCATGTTTTTTGCTGGTCCCTTGAAATTCAAACAGGTTTGACTGTTTTGAAAGAAAGTTGAAGACTTCCTTTGATTGGTCAAATGAACTCTTGCTTCCAAGTTCAGCATCCTTTCAATTCATTCAAGACACAAAATATCACCATTTACAATTTCCTAAAATTCATTCCTTTCCACAACAAAAATATTTGTTTCCTTGACACAAAACCTCACTGCCTTGATGTTGTTCATGTTTTTTGCTGGTCCCTTGAAATTCAAACAGATTTGACTGTTTTGAAAGAAAGTTGAATACTTCCTTTCATTGGTCAAATGAACCCTTGCTTCCAAGTTCAGCATCCTTCCAACTCATTCAACACACAAAATAATTTTCTTGAAATTCTTTCCTTTCCACAACAAAAATATTTGTTTCCTTGACACGAAACCTCACTAACTCGATTTTGTTCATGTTTTTTGCTGGCCCCTTGAAATTCCAAGAGATTCGACTGTACTGTACAGTATACAAGTGATGTACGTAGAATGATCATTGCATTACTCACCCCATTTCCTTGTGCTTGTTGTCTCTTGCTCTCCATCATGGTCCATTTTCGCAAATGGTGCAAGCGTGTGCATGGTACCACCAGCATGCAGCATCAGCGCCGCGTCATTGCTTTCTCATTCTCACGTTTATCGGTTGTCGCATGCTTCAACGAGTCCCGGACTTCCTCCTGCTGGCAGAAAATGGGAAGAATTGAAGTGGGTTCACGGGGACTGGAAAACATCGTTTGGATGAGAATTTCATTGCAGAGAACAGCCAACAGTCAAACCTCTGTAAGTCTAATTTCAAGGAACCTGCAAAAAAATTCGACTTAGAGAGTGTTTTAAAGGAAGTGAAAGACTTAATTGGGCAAATAAACCCCTGCCTCCAAGTTCAGCAGCCTTTCAACTCATTTAAGAAGCCATTTAAGCTTTAGAATATCGCAATTTACATTTTTTCCAAGTTTTCCAGAAAAAAGGGCTTTGTATTGCAGTTCCAACCTATGAAATTCCAAACCTCTCTAAGCTGAAACCTCTGTAAGTCGAATTTCAAGGAACCTGCGAAAAATTCGACTTGAGAGAGGTTTCGAATTAGGGAGGTTTGGAATTTTATATAATATATTGGAATTTGATATAATATATTGGAATTTTATATAACATATTGGAATTTTATACAATATATTGGAATTTGATATAATATATTGGAATTTGATATAATATATTGGAATTTGATATACTGTAATATATTGGAATTTTAAATTATTTTAATTCCAAACCTCCCTAAGTTGAAACCTCTTCAAGTCGACTGAAATTCGACTTAGAGAGGTTTTGACTTAGGGAGGTTTGGGATTTTATAGATTGCAACTGCAATACAAAGCCCTTTCTTTCTGGAAAACTTGGAAAAAAATGTAAATTGCGATATTCTAAAGCTTAAATGGCTTCTTAAATGAGTTGAAAGGCTGCTGAACTTGGCGGCAGGTGTTTTTTTGCCCAATTGAGTCTTTCACTTCCTTTAAAACACAAGCCTTTACGTTTTTATTGCTTTTTTCTTTCTTTTTTCAAAAAAATAATGGCCAACAGGCCACAGAAAAAAATTCGACTTACAGAGGTTTGAGGGGAAAAGCCTTCGACTTAAAAACAATACATAAAAAATTTCCCCAACGGGATTCAGAAGGGATTTGAAAAAAAAAATCGACTTAGGGGGAGTTAGGGAAATTCGAGCTTCACCTGTACATTATGATGATGGTAATGCATAGTACTACATGTCGATTACGGGTATACAGTATATTGTACAAACGGTAAACTGGAAAGTTGAACTGTGTGCGAGGAAATAAGATACCATTTGAAGTGTTGTAAAGCGCGTAAAACGTTATGTTTCCCGCAATAATGCTGAGAGATCCCCTATATTTTCTTCCAAACACCAAGTGAATAATGCTCATGACGATTTTCAGGATTTCATTTGCAACAACTGAAATTTCTCCACATTCATGTGCGTTCATGTACAATATTGAAGTTCCTTCGATTTTATTCACCTCACTCAACTGGAATGGAAGAAGTAATCTCTTCAAGAAGGAAGTGACTGACTTCGTTTTCCGTAGTGCAGTCCACGAAATTCTCGTAGTATTTCATACCTTTAATTAATAGAGAAATCTTTCCTGGAGGAAAGGGGTTTTTCAGCAATCAAAGTACAGAAGCATGTGGAAATTTTAGTGAAGGGACGAGTTTTACTCAATGCAGTTGAACCTCAATAACTCGATCCTGATTAATTCGTCAAGTTCCCATGTCGAACTTTTTCCTAGTCCCTTTGTGAATGCCCTTAGAAACAGTGCGATGAAAACCTTCTCAACTCGAAGATTTTCCTCTTCCGACCAATTCGAAATTTATGAGGGGATTTTGGCTATTTGTTTTTGACACAGGAAAGGATTGAGCTTTGAAAATGTAACTTGATGCTTTTTCGAGAGGAAGTGAACAATGATCGGGGAAATGAATACTTTTCTCCGTGTATATTTGTTTTTGACACAGGAAAGGATAAAGCAATGAAAATGTAACGTGATGCTTTTTTGAGAGGAAGTGAAAGAATAATCGGGGAAATGAATACTTTTCTCCGTGTTCAGCATTCTGTCAACTTCTTCAAAGGGCGGTTTTGAGTCAAGACAGATCACTTATTCCTTTGATTCAGACAAAAATGGCAGTTTCCCTTATTTGAAATCTCCCCGTGTCGAATATTTAACTTGCTGGCGCCTTGGAATGAGATTTTAAGAGGTTGAATTGTAGTAAAAGTAGGGTTTTTTGCTGTTGTATTCGTTGCGTTGTGCTCGCCTTCACCCAGAGAGAGTTAATCGAAACATTTTCAGAATGTCTTTCTAATAATTTTCCAGGTGCGACTGCGGATGCCTCAACGACCATGATGACCTCATCGAATGCTGATGACGAGGCCTCGATCAGGGTCAACGACTACTGTACAGTGCAGTGTAAACCCTGTGGTGCTGCTTCATGCCCACGGCCCGTCATCGACCACGCATTTCCCATTGGATGGATCCCGCCTGAGTTTCTTTCCCCTGTTAACCTCGACTTTTGGGTATACCCCTGCTGCCATCTATGCAGGTGCGTTTATAATCGCGAGACTGACTGACTGACTGACCCAGTTTTTCCCGCCTCGAAGAAAGCTATTCAGCAGTGCTGCCCAACCACACGGCCCGTGGGAGACGGATCTGGCCAACGAAGCCCGCTGCGTTAGTGCTGCTGTCCCTTCCGTACAATTTTTTAAAGGTGGCAGCAACCATTCTTCCGAATCATGCTGGACTTTCTCTACAACAAACTTGCCAAGAACTTATTGATCCCTTTCTTTTTCATCCCTTGGGGCTCTCTCTCTATATTACAAGGGCTCTCTGCAACGATTTTTTAAAATCTGGTCCCTTGAATTTTTTTTTCATAGGGAGAGTCCACCAGTGTATCAAAAGATGCATTTGAAGATTTCGGAACATTGCTAAAATTGTACCAGACTATGTTTGGAATTCAATGCTTTGAAATGAATTAAATTTAGAAGTTTAATTTTCATGGGGAATTTATGGCCTCTTGGAAATGAATTTTCCATATAAAAATTTAATAAAAGCCATTGAATAAATGACATACAGAATCTGGTATTTATTAGTTGAGGGAGAGAAGTAGGTGATACAGTTTTAATTAAATTTGTCACAAGAAATTCTGAATACGGGAAATTATATCTATAAAGCATTTTTATATTTCTGGTCCCTCGAATTTTGTTGTAAAGAGAAAGAGAGTTGTATATTCATTAAAGCCCCACTAAAATGCATCCCTCCACAAGCAATAAGCCACCACCCTCAACTCCCATCAATTTTGTTGAAAAAGCGGTTCTTTCCCAATCATAATAACATTGGAAAACCCATTGAAATGTCATCCGCAAAACGAACAAAAAATTGGCCACACAGATATGCTCCTATAAATTAATTTTGTGTTCGAAAGCCCCCCCCCCCCAACACTATTCAAGTTTCTTTGAGAGGTTTTCAATATTAAAAGAAAACACAAAGATGAAATAATTTACTCTTTGGGAACATCAGTTAGATTTAATTCACACATATCAGCTTTATTTTGATTGTTTTCTGAAAGAGCAAGAGTTTGATTTCCTACTATGTTTGATTTTCATAATTTCTGATCTTTATTTTTTTTTATTTCAAGTTTCTATGAGAGAATTTCACCATAAAAAAACACAAACATGACATAATTTACTCCTTTGGAACATTAGTTAGATTTAATTCACAAATCTCAGCGTTATTTCAATTGTTTTCTAAAATAACAAGAGTTTCATTTCCTACTTAGCTTGATTTTCATAATTTCTGATCTTCATTTTTTCTTATTTCAAGTTTCTATGAGAGAATTTCACCATAAAAAAAACACGAAGATGACATAATTTACTCCTTTGGAACATTAGTTAGATTTAATTCACACATCTCAGCGTTATTTTGATTGTTTTCTACAAGAACAAGAGTTTCGTTTCCTCTAACGCTTGATTTTCATTTCGTTTTAGCTTTTTTAATGAGCCATGAACCCCCATTAAAACACCACGAACCAATGGTGGTGGGTTATTAAGGTTTGACTGTTCAGACAAATGATGTCTCATTACCTGCTACCGTTCATGCGCATCAGCGACTACTGTATGTGGGCGATTGCTGTGCCAATCTTTTTTTTAAATTATCCTCGTAATTGTTATAAGTTAATAGCTACTGTTCATGAACCCTGTGATGCATGTACAGTACGCGTCTCTCATCGTCACCCTTCCTTCTTCTTCAAGTGGAGAGTTGAACGTGCTCATAATGGCGGATGCATGTATAGGTGGCGCGCATTATCACGGCGTTTGTTTGTTGGGTCGATTGCCGTACAGTATAGTGGTACAGCAGTTGAGTGTGATGGGGGGTGGTATAAAATACAGTACAGTACAGTTATGTGAGCGTGCATGCATGCATGCTGCTGGTGCATGGGATGGGCGGGATGGGCACCAGCAGCAGCAGCAGCAGACAACCTGCGGTTTAGTCAATAAAGGTGCTTGTGTGTGAGTGCATCATGCATGCTGTCTTCCAAGACATTGTTCTGCGGTGCACCAATAACCAACCAGGCTATCATTTCCTTTACCCCCCACCCCTCCCCCTAAAAACAAAAAAAAAGACCGCGGGACAATCACAAACGTACAGTAAAGTTCCGTTACAACGATTCTCGCTATAATAAATTGTTTTTTGTTATAACGAGAGGAGTTTCTCCAGTTCTCCATAAGCGCAATGTTATAAAAGTCTCGTTTTAACGAACTTATTTCAGACTGTAATAATCTCAGTACGTACGCGGGTTGGTTCGTGAGATTTGAGACTTTTTGGAATAGATCCAACGGAGTTTCAACAATTAAAAGAATGTTACTTGCATAGCACCATCATTTGGCAACACTTTAGTGTTGTTCAACATACTCTCCGTGGATTTCAGGGCATTTTTTCATGCAATAAATAGAACAATCAAAACAGTGCCAAAAATCTAGAAATGACAGTTGATTCGGCAACCTGTGACTCATTCATGGTTGTTCCCAACATTAAATAATGACCTGAAAGGAATTGATTTTGAGGACATGGACAGCCTCATTTCCACCATCGTAGAACAGCTTCATCAACTACTATAATAATGAAACTTGATTTTCGGCAATGTATTGATCTTCACTAAATTTGTCGCATGGAAAAATGCATTTAAATCCCCGGGGAGTATGTTAAGTTGGTGAAAGTGTTACCCCCTAATTCTGTGCATAGCACCTGGGGATTATTTGATTGATGGCATCAAAATTTATCAGTTTTTTTTTGGCATCAACACAGGGGAACCTTCTTGTGATTTTTGATCTGTGCTGATTCAGCACAGCACCTGCATAGGTGGCAGCAGGGGTATACCCAAAAGTCGAGGTTAACAAGGGAAAGAAACTCACGCGGGATCCATCCAATGGGAAATGCGTGGTCGATGATGGGCCGTGGGCATGAAGCAGCACCACAGGGTTACACTGCACTGTACTGTAGTCGTTGACCCTGATCGAGGCTTCGTCATCAGCATTCGATGAGGTCATCATGATCGTTGAGGCATCCGCAGCCACACCTGGAAAATTATTAGAAAGACATTCTGAAAATGTTTCGATTAACTCTCTCTGGGTGAAGGCGAGCACAACCCAACGAATACAACAGCAAAAAACCTCCTACTTCTACTGCAATTCAACCTCTTCAAATCTCATTCCAAGGGGCCAGCAAGTAAAAGATTCGACACGGGGAGATTTCAAATAAGGGAAACTGCCATTTTTGTCTGAATCAAAGGAATAAGTGATCTTTCTTGACTCAAAACTGCCCTTTAAAGAAGTTGACAGAATGCTGAACACGGAGAAAAGTATTCATTTCCCCGATTATTCTTTCACTTCCTCTCAAAAAAGCATCACGTTACATTTTCATTGCTTTATCCTTTCCTGTGTCAAAAACAAATAGCCAAAATCCCCTCATAAATTCGAATTATGGAGGTCTGAACAGGAAAATCTTCGAGTTGAGAAGGTTTTCATCGCACTGTTTCACAAAGGGACTAGGAAACAGTTCGACACAGGAACTTGACGAATTAATCAGGATCGAGTTATTGAGGTTCAACTGTACTGAATAAAATTTGACTCTTCACTAAAATTTCCACATGATTCTGGGATTTGATTCCTGAAAAAATCTTTTCTCCTGGAAAGAATTCTCTATACATTAGAGGTATGAAATACTACGAGAATTTCGTGGACTGTTCAACTGAAAACGAAGTCACTCCCTTCTCGAAGAGATTAATTCTTCCATTCCAGTTTAATATGGTGAATAATAACGAAGGAACTTCAATACTGTACACGAAAGCACATAGATGTGGAGAAATTTCAGTTCTTGCAAATGAAATCCTGAAAATCGTCATGAACATACTCACTTTGTGCTTGGAAGAAGGGATCTCTCAGCACTCTCGCGCGGAAAATAACGTTTTCGCGCTTCACGACACTTCAAATGGTATCTGATTTCCTCGCACACAGTTCAACTTTTCTTCTCTCACACAAGCTTTCAGTCAAGATCCAGAGGAAATGGACACCGGCTTCTCCATATCCTTTCCTGCCAATAAAATGGTCAAAGTTTCTTATTCACTACCATGAATGATTTCACTGCCAATAGAATTTCACCATACATCGCATGGTTCACAGTCAGTAGTAAGCCTTGATGAATTTACCTGACTGTTGGACAATCGATTGTGGGTACAGTAGACTCAATTAAAGGAAGGAGCTCATGTATGAACAATGACTGCATTTTCACTCTGAGAAAGCTTTCCATTTCAAAAAGAAAAAAATTCATCAACGAATTAAAAAAACAACAAATCCAGAGGTGGCGAACATCCCAGTGCTCCGTCCAGACCTGAGCTCATGGTTACAACTCACTTTCACTCGGACTTCTACAGCATAATCTCTGGGTATATCATGAAAAAAATTGAGTGGATTCCAAAAATCAGGAAGACAGATTTTACTGCACACTCAAAGAGATAACGGAGAAACTTTCCGAAGTAAAAATGTATTCGGTCACACGACGGTGTAACTACAAAAAATACTAGGCCCAGCAAAACAGGTATGCAAGATAAATTCAACGAACTAACAAATCTAGAAAATAAATTTCGACAAGAAGATGACTGGCGAACTACGCACACTAAAAATAAATATGAGCAAACAAGGTACATGGACAAGAATAAAGTAAATAGCTGCAAACACGCCGACCAAATTTTTCATCATCTCAAATGCCTTCAGGGAAAATGAAAATGCAAACTTTTTACACAAAAATAATTACAGCACTATACAACTGGAAATTTTTTCACAACACCACTAACCAAGACAGTGTATTTACACGAGGACGAAATCAAGACCATCCCTTTTTTTTTAAGCAGCTGAATTGTTGCATAATTCGAGAAGATGGGGTTCTTTTTACGAAAGAAATCATGAATTTTACACAACTCACAAAAGGGTTTTTACAGCAGAGGAAGTTCAACAACTCGATTTTCTTCAACAAGAAAGAATCCGAACAATATGCCTTTCCGAATTTTCCGGCCAATGAGACAAGCGGTCTATCCACTTCCGTAAATCCTCAACGATTCAGCCGCACCGGCTTTCGCCAGCTCATCCGCATCTCCATTTTCATCACTTGATATCCATTTCTAAAAAAGGACGAATGAGGTACAAATCAGCGATGGATTTCGGCATCTTTTTGCTCATGCAGGAATACTTGGCTTCAGAAAATTTCTAATTCTTTGTTTTATGTGGAGAACTCCGAATGCAAAAAAAGTTTCGTTCCAATTCAAACCGAAACACGCGTTTCATCTTTGAAAAAAAAAAACTATTTCTAGAGTCTTTGAATTTTTCAACTACAGTATATCAAGGGGCAGTTTTTTCCCCTAGATACGATTATCGTCTTCAATTCGGAAAAATATACTCACGAAATCCACTTCCATGAAAGAGAAAGCTCTATGAATGGCGCGGATTTCACTTCGATTTAGAACAGCTGTTCCAGCGGCTGTCCGCCAATCCCTTTCTTCCCAATTCGGCATCCAAACAGTGACGCAATTCTTGGCGTATGTCGAATCGGTCCTAATCCGCAGCTCTTTCAAGCCTGCAGTTACAACATCAGGAAAAATTTAGCAGTGTTGAACCAGTAATGTCTTCATTTATTAATTTTACCGGCTGCCTTCGCAGCGTGGATTGCATAGAGAATGGCCGTCAGTTCTGCACGGTTACTCGTGCCCGGAACGGGTAAGGGTTCCGAAATATTCCTGCAAAAAAATAATGAATGAATAGAAATATTTCTGATGATACGAACTGTCGAGCACTTCACGCCATCATACTTTTTCACGTCTGAATCAATGACGATTCATTTAGCCTGGTTCGTGTCTTCCTCGAGGGAGCTTGGCATTCGAAATACAGTTATTACGTCATTTACTTACTAACAAAAAGGTTAGCGCAAGGCTGAACCAATCGCATAATAACCCAATCATCATTCATCAAACTTTTCCAAGTTCCAAATCATCCTAAGTGAGGAAATGAGCGAAGAGAAAATACTCACGCAACGTGATCCTTCCCGAACCAGACTCCAACTCCGGAAGTTTTCAAATTAGTGACGCAGGATCCATCCGTGTAACAGATTGCATATCCATCAGTATCGAATTTGAAATCAGAAATCTTCGCCTTCTGAGCCTGTTGCAAAATTCTCGGAGGAATTTTCGGCTCATCCACTATATTAACCGTCTTCAATTTCTTGGAAGAAGGATACGATGACACGAAGTCCGACTCGACTCCACGTTTCTGAGGAAAACAGCAGAACCGGTAAATACTTCTGAGTGAAAATCATGGTCAATTTTTATTTCGGAATCCACTTTTCACATTAAAACCCGTGCTCGAAAAGGTGAGAACGAGTCGAAAGAACATTCGTAGTTTTTTTACTCTAAGAAGAGTATAGGAAGAAGGGCATTTATTCTTCATCGCAATGTAAAAATAATCTCAGAAGCATTATAACATGATCAAAGAGTGTAAAGCAATTTTCAATCCTTTATTGAGCTAGAATGACATAAAATGCCCCACACCTGAAACTGTCTCGAAACACGATCAGGTTTCGGAACAGTACAGTAATCTTTCTATTGTTCCACACCATCTCATAAACACGCTGCATGGAATCGCGCTTCTTCGAGAACCACTCAAAATGTTATAAATCATGGAGGAGGACTCACATGGCAACTGCTGCTATGCCTCGGATCATCATCATGTACTTCCGTCACTTGGCTCACAAGCGCCAAACCTGAGAAGACCCTTATCGGTAATGAAGAGCCGTTGTTCGATCGTCCCGAAGATGTTGATTGAACATTGACAGCTTTTGGCTCCTGACAAATTTTTGAAGTCCGTTAGAACAAAGAACACCATTCTCCATCATACAGTACTTACTCTCTAAAGAAGGCATCAAGTGGGACTCAGAAACACATTTTCAAAACAAAATGTTGTTCTATTAAGACTAGGAAAAATACGCACAAATTACTACCGTCACTGGCAATTATTTAGAAGGAGACGTTAAAAGAATACAGTATATATACCATCATGCATCTACAGTACTTGAAACAACACTACATACCTCAGCGTAGAACGGCATGGCAACAGCAGACAAAAGGTCCTATGGTGAACGATGAAATCTTGCGAAGAACAACCTGAAAACAAGTTCAAGCCAGAAAATCATATACCTGACAATTCATGAACAGAACCAAATTCCTAGCGTTCGAAAAAAACTTCTGCGCAACGAGAATAACTGAGAAAAAATCGATTTGAAGTCGCAGACCAAGAATGAACACCTTACACAGAAGTGTTGACAATCCTTCTTCACTTGCTAGAGAGCACACGCGTTTTTAAGTGATAGTGGACAACTTCGAAGGCAAAAAATTCAACACACGGACTGACACATACCGCACGCACGCTACTATATATAGGCATTAGCTCCTGATGAACCTCAGCAATCCTTACCTGCTGCTCTTCTCTTCACGTTCCTTGCCTCTCATTGGCTGAGCCATTTAGAGTCGAAGATTCAATGTCCTAAGCGTGCCCTCTGCCAGGGAACCAAGAGGGGGGGGGGGGGGGGAATCAAAACATGCATGCACTTTTCCATCTTAAATTCAAGATCAACACGAATGCAGAAATTAATGTACGGACGTTGTAAAGAGAAATCATCACTATAGCTGAAGTCAGATTTAATGTCGCGTTTCTATATAGGAGCTAGAAGCAGCTGCGTTCGATTTCAGTTAGCTTGGCTTCAAATTTTGTGGAAAATTTTTTCCAAATTCCAAGCAAAACTGAAAAAAATATATTGAAGGTCAAAAATTGAAAATTAATTTGCTCATAACAAAAATTAAAATGTAACCGCTATTCAATCTTACAGTACGGACTGTATTTTAATTGACTATAATATTTATACATATACTACTGTACAGTAATTTCAGCACTACTATACAGCACATCATACAACTGAGTTACACGGAAAATTTAAGAAAAACTTCTGCAGCCCGCCAGTCTTAATTAAATTGAGAACTGCAAAAGTTGAGGTTGGAATCCTCGAGAGATTTTGCATAATATGCATATACTGCAGTGCACAATCATATCCACTCTTTTCACATGCACACGTGACATCTACGAAGATGTTCATAATTATTATGGAAACATTGCTTTAATCCTAGATGTCGCCGTAATGAAAAAACGATCTGCTGAATCTCACTCACTTCTGAAGCAGATCGTGCGATTATGAGAGCCTCACAATTACAATGGACCACAAAATTTTTTTTTCAACAATTGTCCTTCATTTATCTGAAATTCAGACATTTAGTTGTTTACGTACAGTACTTCGCCACGAACCAATACATATTGGACTGAATCACAATGAGTGCTGGTGAAAAGCCCGACTTTTTTCCCACAGCAGCAAAATCAATGTTGGGACGAATCCGCGAGGCATCACTTCATACTGTATTTTACTTAGTAGCATCTCATTTCATGATGGCCAGATACGGGATCACATTTTTATCTTTCAATTAAAACTTTCTGATTCAAAAAGTCGTTCGTGCTGTGGTTTCGATTCGCAAATTACTATAGTGCCTACGCGTAGGAGCACAGAACAACCTTCTTCTAAATAGCACCGTTCACTGTGTATTCTTCGTAACGAAATAACGGAGCAAGTTCCGGGCTGAATTATCTCAGATTACATCACAATTGTGAGCTTCGCTGCGAAAAACTCGCAAATCCGGTTATTTCAGCACACGCGTTTTTCCTATATACATTCGAATGACGAAACGTCGAGGATGCGAGCTGTCCCTTACCTGGCTTCGGAACAGTAATTAACCACGACTCCCAATACATTATGTATGTAGCAATGAGAATCCTTCAAATACATAGCTCATGCATTGGAAGAAATACTGTACAAGGGAATTAGTTCTTGGGCCCTATATTTCCATGCTATGTGTGTCTTCCGGGGTTCTCCACATCGTAATTCTTCCTACAAGGAATTTTTTCAGGTCCTCCGAATATGGTTGTGAAGGGACTGGAACTGATTTCCATGATAAAATCCCTTCAAAATGTGTACTGATACTACTGAATGTCTTCCATGCTGAACCGGCATGCTAAGCATTATAGATGTCGTTCCTGCTGTGCGCCACGCATACTAAATTTCCCCGCAAGCACTGATGTTATGCAGTACATGCAAGTCATGATCAACTTACCCGAGGGTGAAATACGCCAAGCAACTCCCACCTGTTGTGGTTTGCTGGAACGATTTTAATCTTACGTCATTTACCGTAGGTAAATGAAAAGCTGGACGAGAACTGGCTCAAGAGAATTTCTGGCATATCTTATAACCTGCCTTCCACACATCATCCTTGTCGTGAGGAAAAATTCGCAAGTGAAGTTAACAAACGCTTCTAATAACTCACTTTCTTTGAATGATGAGGAAGTTTCAAATTGTATTCAACTATTTTCAGTCAAGAGGAATAAGATCATGAGTCGTGATTCCATCTTGAAATTTAGACACTGACGGGTTTCTCTTTTCGTGGATAATACAGAACCTAAGCGAAGGGGATGAAATAAGAGACCATCATAGATTCACATGGTTTATTGCTTCATTTTTCAGGCACATAACATTAGAGCCGATTCTTGTACGGTTGGACCTCCATCAATGGACTCAGGGGGCAAGAGAAAATTTTTTATTTAGAAACAAGCGTCTTCGTGGAAAAAAATCTCGATGAATTACAGTACGGTGAATCGGTTAATTTTGCTTTCATTCAGCTTCATTTTAATACTGTTCCATTTCATTGGTTCCCAGGACAATAATTGGAAGGTCTCAAAAAAGTCCGAGTTAAGGGGAAAGGAATTCAAGTCACGGAGAGCTACATTCCACCAGTCTTGTTGAATTCTGGACAGGAAAAACAAATAATGTATTAACAGATGGAGGTTTTTCCTTCTTTTTCTTTTGGAGAGATGTACGTTAAGGTCCAACTGTAATAGACATCGTTTCATTTGAGTGATTGGGGGCGATCATCTGGGCTCAAGGGAACCGTAGTTAGATAACCCAACACAAATAATAGAATTGAACTATCGATTGAAATAACTTTTACTTGATGATTACCAGATTCTTGTGGATTTCATGCTGGGACAATTCGGCAGGCCATGGGATGAAGAACAATGAAATTTGGGACCAGCATAAGAGACTATTTATTCAGAATGATGACAAAAATCGTTGGTTTGAAGAAAATAGATAAACTGCATAAAGAAGCATGTGAGATACGAAAATTCAGAAAAAATTTCAAAATCCAACCAACGGATGCAGTAAATCTCCTGCTACCGACGTCCAACACATGAAGTAATCGCTTTTCTCTTTCACAGGAATCCATCACAATTGTAAACAAAGTGTATCCTTCATCAATCATGAAGACTCTTCTAGACGTCATATTTCCTTTTCAGGAATAGAAAACACCGCGAAAATTATTGTCAGCTCGGGACCACCCTGGCTTTGTCCTATCACTCAGATCAGGACATTGTCAGAATGGCACGATTAACCTCATCCACCTCCCATCATCGGTGAAGGAGATGGAGAACTCCCTGCTCCAAAGCTCCTAAAACGGGAAGTCTTCGAGGCCTATTGAAAATTAAAGATACCGCAAACTCACGCGGTATCCATCCAATGAGAAATGCGTGGTCGATGATGGGCCGTGGGCATGAAGCAGCAACACAGGGTTACACTGCACTGTACTGTAGTCGTTGACCCTGATCGAGTCCTCGTCATCAGCATTCGATGAGGTCATCATGATCGCTGAGGCATCCGCAGTCACACCTGGAAAATCATTAGAAAGACATTTTGAAAAGATTTCGAAACACTATCTGAGTGACGATGAGTACAACCCAACAAATACAAATGCAAAAAAAACCTCCTATACTTTTACTGCAATTCAGCTTTTTCAAATCTCGTGCCGAAGGACCAGCAAAAAAAACAATTCGAAACGGGGAGATTTCAATTAAGGGAAACTGCCCTTTTTGTCTGAATCAAAGGAATAAGTGATCTTTCTTGGCTCAAAAGTGCCCTTTACAGAATTTGGCGTGATGCTGAACTCGGAGGAAAGTATTCATTTCCCCGATTATTCTTTCACTTCCTCTCAAAAAAGCATCACGTTACATTTTCATTGCTTTATCCTTTCCTGTGTCAAAAATAAATAGCCAGAATCCCCTCATAAATTTGTAATTATGGAGGTCTGAAGAGGAAAATCTTCGAGTTGAGAAGGTTTTTATCGCACTGTTTCTAAGGGCATTTACAAAAAGACTAGAAAACAATTCGACACAAGTACTTACTCGAATTAAGTAGGTTCGATTTATCAAGGTTCAACTGTATTGAATAAAATTCGTCCTTCTAATAAAATTTCCGCATTGTTCTGGAACTTGATTCTTGAAAAAACCTTTTCTCATGGAAAGAATTCTCTATAAATTAAAGGTATGAAACACGCCGAAAATTTCATGGACTGTTGTTTGTAAAACGAAGTCAGTTCCTTCTCAAAGAGATCAATTCTTGCATTCCAGTTTAATAAAGTGAATAAAATCGAAGGAACTTCAATACTGTACACGAATGCACATTGATGTGGAGAAATTTCAGTTCTTGCAAATGAAATCCTGAAAATCGTCATGAAAATACTCACTTTGTGCTTGGAAGAAGATAGAGGATCTCTCGCGCGGAAAATAACGTTTACGCGCTTCACGAAACTTCATATGGTATGTTATTTTCTCGTACACAGTTCAACTATTCTCCTCTCACTACTCCGGTCAATATGCAGAGGAAATGGACACCGGCTTTTTCATATCCTTTCCTGCGAACAAAATGTTCGAAGTTTCTCATTCACTACCATTGATGATTTCACTGCCAATAGAATTTCACCATGCTTCGCTTTGTTTACAGTCAGTAGTAAACCTTGATGAATTTACGTTTTGTTGGACAATCGATTTTGGGTCAGGAAATTCAAGTAAAAGAAGGAGCTCAGATTTTTACAGTGATCGTAATTTCACTCTGAAAAAGCTTCCCATGTCAAAAAGAAAATAATCCTTCAACGAATTAAAAAGACATCAAATCCAGAGGTGGCGAACATCCAAGTGCCCTGTCCAGAACTGAGCTCATGGTTGTAACTCACTTTCACTCAGACTTCCAAAGCATAATCTCTAGGTATATCATGAAAAAAATTGAGATTCCAAAAATCAGGAAGACAGATTTTACTGCACACTCAAAGAGATAACGGAGAAACTTTCCGAAGAAAAAATGTATTCGGTCACGCGACGGTGGAACTACAAAAAATACTTGGCCCAGCAAAACAGGTATGCGAGATAAATTCCACCAAGTAACAAATCTAGAAAATAAATTTCGAAAAGAAGATGACTGGCAAACTACGCACACTGAAAATAAACATGAGCTAACAAGGTACATGGACAAGAAGAAAATAAATAGCTGCAAATACGCAGAGCAAATTTTTCATTATCTCCAATGCCTTCACGGAGAAAGAAAATGCAAACTTTTTACACAAAAATAATTACAGCACTGTACAACTGAAATCTTTTTACAAAACCACTAACCAGGACAGTATATTTACACGAGGACGAAATTAATACCATCCCTTCTTTTTTCGCAGCCGGATTGTGGCATAATCCGTGAAGATGGCATTTTTGATTCGCACGAAAACGTGACTTTTACAAAACTCACGCTCGGGTTTTTACAGCAGAGGAAGTTCACAAACTCAATTTTCTTTGACAAGATGACAAAATCCAAACGACGTGCTTTTTCGTATTTTCCGGCCAATGAGACAAAGCGGTCTATCCACTCCCGTAAATTCTCAACGATTCATCCGCACCGGCTTTCGCCAGCTCATCCGCATCTCCATTTTCAGCTCTTGATACCCATTTCTAAAAAATGACGAATGAGGTACAAATCAGCGATGGATTTCGACATCTTTTTGCTCATGCAGGAATACTTATTGGCTTCAGAAAATTTCTAATTGATACTTCGTTTTATGTGGAGAACTCCGAATGCAAAAAAAGTTTCGTTCCAATTCAAATCCGAACACGCGCATCATCTTTGAAAAAAAAAAAAAAGATTTCTAGAGTCGTTGAATTTTTGAACTATTATTTTAAGGGACAATTTTTTCCCCTAAATACGATCATCGTATTCATTTTGGAAAAATATACTCACGAAATCTACTTCCACAAAAGATAGAGCTCTACGAATGGCGCGGATTTCATTTTGATTTAGGACAGCTGTTCCAGCGGTTGTCTTCCAATCGTTGTCTTCCCAATTCGCCATCCAAACAGTGATGCAATTCTTGGCGTATGAGGAATCGGTCCGAATCCGCAGCTTTTTCAAGCCTGCAGTTAAAACATCAGGAAAAATTTAGCAGTGTTGAACCAGGAATGTCTTCATTTATTAATTTTACCGGCTTCCTTCGCAGCGTGGATTGCATAGAGAATGGCCGTCAGTTCTGCACGGTTACTCGTGCCCGGAACGGGTAAGGGTTCCGAAATATTCCTGCAAAAAATAATGAATGAATAGAAATATTTCTGATGATACGAACTGTCGAGCACTTCATATACTTTTTAACGTCTGAATCAATGACGATTCAATTAGCCAGGTTTGCGTCTTTCTCAAGGGCGCTTGGCATTCGAAATACAGTTATTACGTTATTTACTTACTAACAAAAAGGTTAGCGCAAGGCTGAACCAATCGCATAATAACCCAATCATTCATCAAACTTTTCCAAGTTCCAAACCATCCTAAGTGAGGAAATGAGCGAAGAGAAAATACTCACGCAACGTGATCCTTCCCGAACCAGACTCCAACTCCGGAAGTTTTCAAATTAGTGACGCAGGATCCATCCGTGTAACAGATTGCATATCTATCAGTATCGAATTTGAAATCAGAAATCTTCGCCTTCCGAGCCTGTTGCAAAATTTTCGAAGGAATTGTTGGCTCTTCGAATGCTGTACACTTGAAGACCCTACAAGACGTTGGCTCATCCACTGTATTGTCCGTCTTCAATTTCTTGGAAGAAGGATACGACGATGACACGAAGTCCGATTCAACTTCACGTTTCTGAGGAAAACAGCAGAACCGGTAAATACTTCTGAGTGAAAATGATAGTCAATTCTTTTTTCGGAATCCACGTTTCACTTGAAAACCCGTGCTCGAAAAGGTGAAGACGAGTCGAAACATTCGTATTTCTGCACTCCAAGAGGAGTAGGAAGAAGGGCATTTATGCTTTATCGCAATGTAAAAATAATCTCAGAAGCATTATAACATCAAAAAATTATATATCATAGCGAAGGACTCACCTGGCAACCGCTGCTATGCCTGGGATCATCATCATGTACTTCCGTCACTTGGCGCACAAGCACCAAACCTGATAAGACCCTTATCGGTAATGAAGAGCCGTTGTTCGATCGTCCCGAGGATGTTGATTGAACATCGAGAGCTTTTGGCTCCTGTCAAATTTTTAAATTATGTTAAAACTAAGAACACTATCCTCCATCAAACAGTACTATTACTTCAAAGAGGACATCAATTGGGACTCAGTAACAAATTTTCAAAACAAAACGTTGTTCCATGAAGACTTGAAAAAATATATACAAAAAAATTACTACCTTCACTGGCAATTATTTAGAGGGAGACGTAGAAAGAAAATATCCCATCATGTATCAACTTAAAACAACACAAACATACCTCAGCGTAGAACGGCATGGCAACAGCAGACGAAAGGTGCTCGTGAACGATGAAGTCTTTTGCGAAGAACAACCTGCAAACAAGTTCAAACCGGAAAATCATAGACTGACAATTCATGAACAGAACCAAATTTCTAGGAATATTGGGATTATATACACGAAAAATGGCATGCCGCTTCATCTTTCCGTTTACTGAAATCTACAACACAAGCCATTCCTATCTAAATGGTGAGGATCGAATTACAATTTTGAAGAAGAATACAGACCCATTGATTTTTCAAAGGGAAATCGTGACACAACACTGCACTCCGGCTCCGCGGGAATTGGTTCCCAACGAAATGGGACCCGTCCCTGGACGAAGAAGAAACGAAAGAACCGTACGATCGTTTAGGTATTCCCCTTTCTACCAGAGACAATCCGCAGAAAATTCTCCTGGTGAAGGACACGACGTTCACTTATTTCCCGAGAGCTAAGCGAAAATAATTCAAATCTGCGGAACGACCACCCCTCAAATTTGGCGGATTCCCGCGACCTAAGCCTATTGTCTTTTCAGAAACGGCGCCGCGCCAATCTCTCTGAAAATCGGAAAACTTTGTCTCAGAGCTATTCGTCAACGTAAATCTGTCTGGCGTCAGTGACGTTTATTCTCCCATCAATTCCGAAACCCTTTCAAACTCATTCAAAGCGACAAAGCTCGAAGTGATTCGTCACAGTCGCTTGTATCAGATATTTCCATTCAAGTCGAGGCGTTCAAAGAAAAGCCGCATTATTGGAAGAAAAACGAAAGACGCGTTATTACTACTATTGCCTGTAGAATAGTCTTCAAAATTTTTTTTTATTTCGCGACGAAAAAAAAAAGCCAATTTCGAGAATTGTCTTTCCCTGAATACCCTGATACTGCGAAAACGTTTTCTTGGGAAATATATCGTCCGAACATTTATACTTAATTCGAAGAGTTGATTCCCCCTCTTTTCCAATGAATTACGAGACGAAAATGCTGCATATTGCATGGACTCCGCGGTTAGAAATCGTTTTCTACTTTCTGTATATGCCAGGGGTGCAGGAGAAAATCCCATAGGAGAAAAAATCCCGCGATTCGAAAATCCGGTGAGGCCGAAAATCCCGTATAAAGTATTACAAAATTGTGATATTATCTCTTGAGTTTTCCATATATGTAGATATCAAAGAGTGTTTTTCTTATGTAAAAATTCATTTTTTGAGGGCAAAGTAGAACTGAAAATAATTGGAAAAGTGAACAGTTTACATGCAAAACAAATGCAGGGACAAAGTCTTGATCCAAATGATAGTTACATTTTTCTCAGGTTTCCTCTCGAGAAAGGCGAGGAAGTGAAGTTGAGGCTCTATTGACAAAGGTGATTCCTAAACCTTGGAAATCCATGGAAAGAAACCCCTTGCACTTTCCCCATTTCATAATCCACCATATTTGCATTCCTCCCAGCCAGTTGGAAAGAAAACTTAGAGATAATATCACAATTTTGTTGTATACGGGATTTTCGGACTCCGCAAGATTTTTTGGCCTACGGGATTATCGGCATCACGGGATTTTCGGGCCGCGGGATTCTTTCTCCTACGGGATTTCATCATGGAGCCATATGCCAGTGTACACTGCTGCGACGAAAAAAAAAACTTCAAGGAGCTTTTTACAGGAAGAAGGTCCGCAAGTATTTCTGTCGTTCTCTTAAGAGACTTAGATTACGACAACGGCTTTGCTTCCGGAAATACCTCCTGGAAACAGAGAGGTCTGCCCGAAATCACGAACAGTCTATTCACTATTGAATTGGGGCTATAAAATTGCTCACAATTCCTACATCAGCAGCTACAGGGGATACAAAACAACGTCCCCTCCCCCAACTGCTTCCGGGAAACAGTCAAAACAGTATGAGTTAATAGGGGTTTATGACTTCCACTCCTGCTTCAGAAAGAACTACGAGAGGATAAAAATGAAGATCTTCAGGAACGGTACTCTGGTTTGAAAATTCCGCACCGTAAAAAATTCCAGAAATCCTTGAATTCTGGATTTTTCGACGTTCGTCACTTTGAACTTGGAGATTTCTGTATAAAATTACTGCGCTCTTATGATTCCTGATGGGAACTTTTTTCCTTCTTCAATTACGGATCATCCATCATGGATGCAGTTTTCAGGAACAATGGGAATTTTGAATCGTAGGGACACATTAACCCCGGATGATCATTTGTCACTCACTCGAACACTTCGAAAACTTCACACCCTTAATGTAACGAAGAAATAGGCACAGCTAGAAAAAGAGGCCTGGGATTCTCAATCCAATAATTTCGGGCCATTCGCATTTTTTGCCATATCACCCATTAAATGTCAATCAATACATAATCAACTTCCCTACGAAGGCGGAAAGAACAATCTAAATTTCAATTCTACCCATTGTAAATCTTTACACGCAAGTGACTGCGATTGCCAGAAAAGGGTCGCAGGCTTGACAGCTGGGAAACATCTTGAAATACCCCTGCCCATCCCGCGCGCGAGGGAAACTAGTCCGCGGAAGAGCGGCAACTTAGATACTCTTGAAAATTTATTTTTCCAACATTTAACTCTCCGAACTAATTTCAACTTTCACGTGACATCCGACTCTACGAAAGGGATTATACAAAAGTCCGCTCATTAAACTCAATCGGTAAATTACTATCAGCTAAATTCAAAATCGAAGAGAATCGTCATGCTGTTATACCTATCGTGATCTCGCACTTGATGAACAAAATGACCCATTTAAACCTCAATCATCA